CTCTTCTGCCAATCCTGTGCTTACCCTTATTGATACTAAGGATGAATTGTCTCAAAATGATGGTGCCTTGTTTTCAGATCCATATGAGTACCGTAGCATTGTTGGAGCTCTTCAGTATGTTACCTTTACTCGTCCCGATATTGCTTATGCAGTACAGCAAGTTTGTCTCTTCATGCATGCTCCTCGCGAGACTCATTATAAGGCCGTCAAGCGTATTTTTCGGTATTTGAAAGGTACGTTTTCCCATGGTCTTTGTATTAAGCGAGCTAGTTTTGATAAATCGGTGGCTTACTCTGATGCTGATTGGGCTGGTTGTCCAGACAAACGTCGCTCTACTTCTGGCTATTGTATATTTCTCGGTCCTAATCTTGTCTCTTGGTGATCAAAACGGCAACCAATTGTTTCTCGCTCTAGTGCTGAGGATGAGTATCGAGAAGTTGCCAATGCGGTTTCTGAAGTTTGTTGGTTACATTTCTTACTCTCTGAACTTCATATCCGCTTACCGACGGCTACTGTTGTGTTTTGTGATAATGTTAGGGCTATCTTCTTATCCACTAATCCTGTTTAGAATCATCGTACCAAGCATGTAGAGATTGATATTCATTTTGTTCGGGAAAAAGTTACTCAAGGCTCCATTCGTGTTCTTCATGTTCCCTCGTCTCATCAGCTTGCCGATATTATGACGAATGGTCTGCCTCTTGTTCTTTTTACTGATTTTCGAGACAATCTGATTGTTCGTGTCTCTTCCGTTCAGATTGCTGGGGATGTTAGTGTATATGTATTAGGATTAGATAGGGTTATTATCGTAAACTTCTATGTATATTTTACCCTATATATATATGTACCAAACCTAATACAATACTTACGGTTCATACACTTTCAGATCAATGGAAGTCCAAGGGGTTTTTTTCAAGCATCTCGTGGTATCAAGCAAGGGGATCCTTAATCCCCATATCTTTTTATCCTCATTTTGGAAGCATTATCTAGGAGGCTTAATTATCTCAATTTCATAGGGAGGATTGCAAATTATGGTGTTCCAGCCGGCACTTTATCAATCTCGCATTTAAGTTTTGCGGACGACTTCATTGTGTTTACCAAAAGCTCTAAAAAATCACTTGAAGCTCTGAATGAATGTTTCATAATAGATGAGAAGGCAACCGGGCAGAGGATTAATCGGCAAAAGAGTGAGTTTTTGGTTTGTGAAAAAGCTAATGTGGAGCAACTAAATCGGGTCCAGCAAATTTTAGAAATGCAGAAGGGAACCTTTCCTCTTTGTTAACTTGGTGCGCACATTTTTAAAGGTAGAAGATCGGCATATCACTTTCAACACTTGCTGGAAACTTTGGATGTCAAGCTTCTAAATTGGAAGAACAAATTTCAATCTAGTGGAGGACGACTGATTTTGATTAAACATGTGCTTTCTTTGATTCCAATTCATACTTTTGCTGCTTTAGAACCGTCAAAGAACATTATTCAAGCTCTTGAAGCTCGATGTTAGAATTTGGGAGAATCCGAAAATGGGTATAAGCGTCATTGGCGCTCTTGGGAGATTCTCTCTTTTCCAGTGGAAGAAAATGGAGTTGGATTTCGCAAATTCAATGAGGTCATAGAGGCTTTTTCTGCAAAATTATGGTGGAAATTCAAAACGCAAGCTGGAATATGGACAAAATTTATCCATTCCTTGTCACTCTCGTCAAGGAACCGTACTACTAGCTGGAAGCATATTGTGAAGATAGATTCGAAAGCTTCAATGCGTACTCATCTCAAAATAGGTCAAGGCCTGATTTCCTTCTGGTTTGATAAGTGGTCTGATTTAGGAATTATCTGGGATCGAAGTCATCAACGGCGGCCACCTTTTCCAAGCCTTACTGTCAAGGAATTTGTTGAAGATCGAGGGAATATATTGCCGATCATTTCAGATTTTTTAACGGCTTCACTGCTGGATTTTTTGAATACACAACTAACTGATTTGTTCGAGCTCTTAGCCGATAAGGATGTTTTTATATGGGAACCATCAATGACGGGGAACTTCTCTATCAAAACAGCATACGATGCATTCAGGGAAACTCATGCAAATTCACATCCCAGTAAATTTGTTTGGAACAAAGTCATCCCTCTCAGATCTTTCTTTTGCTGGAGGTTATACAATCGGATCTTGCCTCTCCCTGAAGCCATCAGCAAACTTGGAATCTGTGTGTTCCCGACTAAGTGCCCTCAGAACACATTTTCTTTAGTTGTGTTTTTTTGAGAAAAGTGTGGAAGTTTTTCGAAGATGAGCTGCTTTTAGTCCTTCCGACTATGGAATGCTTGTGGTCTTATTTGAAGATCTGGTTTACATTGGGAAGTTATTCCTCTACAAAAAAAACTATCATCATGGCGCTTCCCGCTTTTGTTTTATGGGAAATTTGGAAAGCAAGAAATCAAGGTAATTCTATCCTTTTCAATGCAATTATTGTTTCTGTTAAATCTAACATTTCAGGTATGCTACGAGTCCACACATTGAGAGCTAGTACCAGGGAAGAGCAACAACAAATAGAGAATATTTTTCAAGTCGGAGTTTCTCCGCCGAAAATGAAGACGATACTTGTAGTTTCATGGAAGCCACCAAATCCAGGTTGTTTTATATTAAATACAGATGGCTCAGTTAAAGGAAACCGTGGTGAAGCAGGATGGACCTATATAGTCCGAGGTGATCAATGAAATTTGATTCATGCAGCATGCGGGTACTTAGCAACTCATTATAGTCTCTATGCGGAAATATCAGGAATCTTGGAAGGTTTTCGCTATTTTGAGAGGCAAGGTTTAAGAGATGTTCTGCTCCAAATAGACAGCCAGATTACTATCAGCTTTCTCCAAAAGGGGAGAAGTTTTTCTTAGAAATATTCTGAAGCTTTAACAGAATAGTTGATGTCATTAATCGAATGAATTACCAATTCACATATGTGCACCGTGAACTAAATACCGTGCGCTTTGGTAAAGCTAGACTCTGAAGGTGCTTCTAAGGAATTTCCAGCATACGGAATGCTCCCTCGGAAGGTTAATTGGAGGACTTATTTCTCTCGATCAGAAATCACTACCATACCTGAGAATAAGGTGATTCATTTTAATAGCTAGTTTTTAATTGCTAGGTTGACTTTAAAGAGCTGTTATAGGATTTTTGCAGGATCTATGTAAAACAAACTCTTAGGTATAAAACTTTACTTTTGGATTTCTAAATAGAACTGTCAGGGGATATTAGCATGAACCTTTGTAAGATAGTTCTTGGCGTTAGCTTGTTAAAAAAAAAACAAAACCTTGCAAATTAGATTTTGCAAGTCAGGTTTTGGGAGAATTTAGACAATTGAAACATAACTTACAAATCAAATTTTGCAAGTCATGTTTTGAGATAATTTACACAAGTGAACATAACTTGCAAATTAGATTTGCAAGTCACGTTTTGCGAGAATTTACACAATTTAAACATAACTAGCAAATTATTTTTTGCAAGTCATGTTTTGATATAATTTACACATATGAACATAACTTGCAAGTTAAATTTTGCAAGTCATGTTTTTGAAAAATTTACACAATATAAATAAAAGAACTAGTGGCTATACCGATGGTATTCGGTGGCCATTTGTATTGAGTTCGACCAAGAAAAAAAGAAATTTAAAAGTACGATATTGAAACATAGAGGGCGCAAAAAAAGGAAAAAAAAAGGGTAGACATTTTTAAAGAATATAATTCTAACCTATATTAAGCAGAAAATAAGAAGAACGATATTGAAAAATAGACGCGCAAAAAAAGTAGGCAAATTTCAAAGAATATAATTCTAACCAATATTAAGCAGAGAGTGAGAAGAACGATATTGTGTGCGGGTACATATAGTAGGGGGAGTTTAAATAGTAGTCCTAACATGTTTATTTTAAATCAATCAATAAATACATAATCAATAATTTGTAATTATTTCTTTTTTAAAAAAATCGAATATGTAAGGAAAAAGCGTCAACATTCAATCATAATATCATTCACTAATTATTTTGAAATTGATTCTAAAAAATTTTCCAAATCTCTCCAAATCAAAGTATAAATGAGTGATAATTTGTGATCCTTTCTTAATTTATCCAAATCAAAATTAATGAGTCCAAATCAAAATTAATGCGCTGAACATTTTTATACTATAGATTTTTGGCGGGAAATGGGTTAGCAGGAGTTTGACACGTGTACTTTTTTCCATAAACTTATTTTATTTTAATATATATATATATCGGTTCTAATATGTATGTCAATGATAGTTTTCTTAATATGGAAGTTCATATTTTTGTGCTAATATATTTGGATTAACTATTATAGTCATATTTCGTGTAAATATGTGCTCGTGTTTTACGTACTTCATTAAACAAAATTCACATTTCACTTTTGCTTTGAAAAAAAAAAGCCGCAAACAAGTAATAATAATAATAATAATAATAATAATAATAATAATAATAATTGGTGTCACGTTACACAATATAGTGTTGTCATGTTTGGACTAGAGCTCGGCTCATCATGGCCAGGGCTTCGAGAGATTTGGGGTTGACAGGGGGAGCCCACTCGTCTGAAGTGATAAATATTTATTATTAATTGTGTTTTAATTAAAATTTTATAAAGTTTATATACATTTGTTGATTGTAAAAGCCAGATTAGTACTTCATAACTTTAAATTGGGTTTGATGGCACAAAAGTGTACTTGAGAGTCGACTTGGATGAGATCATTATTATTAAATAAATAATATTTAGTTATTAAATATGTTTAAAATAAAAAAAACTTAAACTTAATTGATATCTCTTGTATATTGTAATAGTTGATATTGATATTTTGTAGAAGTTAATCAAAATTTTGTGAAGTAAATAATTATATTAATAAAATAATTAATACTTAAGTGAATAGAAACTGCCCATAGTAAATAATTATATTAATAAAATAATTAATACTTAAGTGAATAGAAACTGCCCATAAAAGATGAAGTGAATAAAAAAAAATGAAACTAGCAAAATTAAACGGTAAGCTGTGTCAATTTTTTTTTTTTTTTCTTGTAAACATAAAATTTGGAATACGGTGACAAAAAAGGACAATAATCAACTGGTTTTTGGAGACCAAAAGAAGAGTAGAAGAGAAAGAGGAGAAAACGTAACTCTCTCATTGTATGGTCCGAAACCACTGGCTAATTCTCCTCCTACTCTCACCACTCCTCCTCCCAGGATTATCACCTCCTCCGCCGCTACTATGCGACTTGGCGCCGGAGCTAACTCTCTCCCCACCCACCGCCCCGCCGCCGCCACTCCCTTCACTCTCTGCAATGCCAATTTTTCTTCGTTCCCGAGTCGTCCTCATAGACTGCTCTTGAATTGGACAAATGTTTCAGAGTTCCGGCAACAAGCTGCTCCCCGGTTTAACTTGCACGCCAGAACCTCCCCCAGCCGCCGGTGTTGTGACTCGTCGTTTCGAGTCCTGGCTTCCGCTACAGCTTCCGCTCCCGTTGAGCAACAGCCTTCAACTTCTGCAGGTGTTTCATTTTTTCCTGTGAATTGTATTTCTAAGTAGCTCTTGTGAAAATGTTCTGTTTATGCTTACTTTATTTGGAGATATCGACAGTTATTACTCATTACGTTATTTGAAAGGATAATGGGGGTTGAGGTTCTGCATCAGGGTAGTGCGTTGTTGGGAGTTTTTGGGCCATGAATTTTTGGTTGCCAGTTCAATTTTGACTCTGAGGAATATTATTATAACTTCCAAATTTTAGTTGAAATAACTAATTCAATTTTTTGAACTCAAAATTCTGTATGAGTGAAATATAAAGTTTTTTTTTTTTTTTTGGGAGGGAATGTGGGATTTAATTTGTGGATATTTGAACTAGGTGTGTGGTTTTAGCCAATGTTGTGTAGCTGATGCAAGAAGTTAATTAAAAATAAACTTGATGTTTACTTCAACTAGCTTCTACAAGTGGAGTAAATATTGGAAATCCTTTAATTCCAAGTTAACTTTTACCTGGTTGTTATTATGTTTTATTACCATTGCTCGGTTGTTTAGGGTGACTATCATTAAAAAACTTGCTTTCTGCTTGGATGCAGATGAGAGAGTTGAGAATGTAGTGATCATTGGGTCAGGTCCTGCTGGATATACAGCAGCCATTTATGCTGCACGAGCGAATCTAAAGCCTGTTGTGTTTGAGGGGTATCAAGTAGGTGGTGTTCCAGGTGGGCAATTGATGACTACCACAGAGGTAGAGAACTTTCCTGGGTTTCCAGATGGAATAACTGGACCAGACTTAATGGACAGGTACATTAATTTATTTATGTTTTGTTTTCTGCTTCGGCTCCTTTATGATTACCCGAAGTTCAAATGCTTTGAATTTAGAGAAGTCAAAAGAATGATACGTATTCTTTTACTAGGATGCGGAAGCAAGCTGAGCGTTGGGGGTCTGAACTGTACCAAGAAGATGTAGAGTTAGTTGATGTTCAGAATCGACCTTTCACTGTGAAAAGTAGTGAACGTCAGGTGAATTTTGAAAAATCCCATGTTATCTATTGGTGTGTATTTTTTTGGGTATCACATTCTCCTAATGATATGGAAACTCCTTTGATTAGAGACTTGAGGAAATTCTTATAAAACTCTTATGCACTAAATAATTGCCTGAAAAATACGATTCATAGTCTAACCTAATTCCTCACTCCTGCACAGTTAACTAGCTTATGATGAAGGCTATCCTGGATATTGTTATGCCTTCACATACTTATGACCTGAAATCCTGAAACTTTCTGCGATGCTGCAATGTTTAATGCAGAGAACAGTTGGACTTGTGTACAGAATTTTTCCTTGATTAATTTGGTTCCAAGTTTCCCTGTGTTTTCGGTTGGGTCCCTGCAGCTGTGAACCTACAGCAGCTTGTCCTTAGATTTTCTTTTTTAACTCTTCCCCTGAGTCTTTAATTTTGTCCTTTGAAAGAGCAATATGTTTCTCTTTATGCAATACTTGAAACATGTTTGGTGAACTGTTCTCTTTTGGTGTATTCAAACCTCAAGTGGGAAAGTGTCCATGCTTTCGCCATCATATTATATAAAAACTGAGGAAGACTCATTATTCCTTGTTATACTTTTTGATCTTAACATGTTCAAATAAATGAGAACACATCTCTACCTTTACATGATTGTATGTGGCCTTGGTTTTTTGCACAACAATACTTATGACTGGGTCAGTAAGAGGGGTACCTGTTTATTTATATCTCTTTTCCCTACAAGCATTAAATACTGTGGGTTGGAATGTGTTTTTCACATTTGTAATGATGGAAATTATTTTATCTCCTGCATCAGGTTGTGGTATATTGCTCTTTTGTTGGTATCCACAATAGTTAACGGGGTTTTGGGGACCTTTGGGTTGGAAGGGCAGAAGGCTTAACCTAGTTTTTGTCCTGAAGCAAGTGTTTATACACTTTCTAATTACTCAGTTGCTTTATGCCTATTTTCAGGTTAAATGCCATAGTCTCATTGTGGCTACAGGAGCTACGGCAAAAAGGCTGAGGCTACCCCGTGAAGATGAATTTTGGAGTAGAGGAATTAGTGCTTGTGCAATTTGTGATGGAGCATCCCCGTTGTTCAAAGGTCAAGTTCTTGCTGTGGTCGGAGGAGGTGATACAGCAACCGAGGAAGCATTGTACTTAACTAAATATGCTCGCCATGTCCATTTACTTGTTCGTAGGGACCAACTAAGAGCATCAAAAGCAATGCAAGATAGGTGCGGATCGTTACGTAAACTGTGCTGATTCTTTTTTATTTATATTTATTATGGGGTAAATGGTCACCTGCTGATGTTGCATCTTTTAAGAAAATTTTTTGTTTTTGTTGTGTGGTCATTTCTTCTTAATGGGACATAACAACTCTTCTTTTCTTTTCTTTTTGAGGTGTTTTTATTTATCCTTTGCAAATTGCTTCTTCACTGTTATTTACTCTCCTGTCTGCCACATAAGAGGTTCTGTAGTTACATCTACCATGCACTGTGTGTATCCGGCCATCAAGTTACTGCTTAAACCACTCTTGCTTGCAACTGGTTTCTTTTCTAGATGTCAGGCCCATGTCCCCTTAATAAGTAAAAGGATATTCTAACAGGAATGAGGAATTTCTGTTAACATATTGACAATAACAAATGAGATGAACAGCCTTTGGTGACTATTGTACCCATGTTCACTGCTGGAAATTGAAAAGCAAATATTATTTGAAGAGATGCTGTTCTGTGTTATTGTCCAGTTAATTGTAGTTAATCGTTTTCATGTGGAAGGGGGAGTGGACATGGGTTTCCCACTGATGACCACCTCATTATATGTTTTTACATTAAACTTGTGCTTACTATGATCCTTTTTCAAAATGTCATGCTTTGATGGCATAATTGCTGAATTACTTTCTGGGGGAAGTCAATTGAACTATTAGCTGTTGGATTCGTAACATTTTTGCGACATGGTAATAATAGTCTTTAATGGATAGGGATATAAAGATATGCCCGTACTTCTTTTCATTGTTTTCATTGGCTCTAGGACATGGAGTATATGATTATGGATGTATTAGGACCATTGTCATGCTGCATCTTTCTCTTATGTTGGTCTAGTTGTAGGCCAAACATAGTTACTACAGAGTTTTACATAAGGATATCATTAGAAATCCAAATGACTCGTGGATAATGGTAGTGGTATAAATTGTATCCCTTTTGAGATGAGAAGATGGTCTTGCTCTTCAGGAACAACTCAAAAACTGCTTGACTAAGTGGTGCAGTCATTTTTCTGGGGAAGAAAAAGAAATCAAATAAATTATTGAAGAAAAGTGTGCGATTTTGTTTGAACAGATGCTCATTTGTCATTGCTCACTGGGAGGATACATTGATACTTTCTTGTTTCTGTGTTTTTGTTTTCTTTTTATTTTACACTCACCACCACATCACGCCTCTCCTCCCCCACCCCCGCCCCCACCCCCCCAAACCCCCTTTTCTGTTTGCCTTTATTATGAGTGTCTTTTGCCATAAAAGTTAGTATTTCCTTTCACCGCTTTCCCTGGTGAATTGATAGCTAATAACTGATATGTTGTAAGTTTTACTTCATGAATGTTTTTTTAACAGGTTGATTATCGCGAATGTTTCAGAGTTTTCAACAATCCAAACGTGACCGTGCACTTCAATACCGAAACAGTGGATGTCGTCAGCAATAACAAAGGTCAGATGTCTGGGATTCTAATCAGAAAAGTCGACACTAATGAGGAATCTGTACTTGAAGCAAAGGGCTTATTTTATGGGATTGGTCATTCTCCAAATAGCAAGTTGTTGGAAGGGCAAATTGATCTTGATTATTCGGGGTACATTCTGGTGGAGGATGGTTCTGCTAAAACATCAGTAGAAGGTGTATTTGCAGCTGGGGATGTACAGGTAATTGTGAGAAAAATTACTTGGCGTTTGTTCATATTTCTATATATTTGTCCGCTGAATTGATCTTTCAAATTCATATTCGTTTCCCGTATTCCCATCAATTGTATACAAATGCATGAACGATGTCTTTCACTGAAATGTGGTCAGTTTCTCCGCCATTCAGAGCCAAAACAAATGAACGAATTTTGAGTAAAATAAGGGAATACTGATGTTGCCACTTTGACGCATGACTTCCAAGTAGAATCCATAAGGAATATCAAAAAGTGTATCCCTGTTTCTTTTAACACCCATGCTGTCAACAATTTTAGATCCTTCAGTGGCTGACTGCCTATAGATTATGCTAACAATTGCTTGGAAACTAATGCCAGTTCATTTTGAATCATATCCCTACTTTGTGAACACAGTTTTTTAAGATTATTTACAGCGAATGAAGCTAACCTCTTTGAAGAAACATGTGGTTTCTATCTTTGTGGGGGTTTGTTTTTTTTTTTGTGTGTGGAAAATACAGGTTTATTTTGGTTTTTAGAATCCTTTTTCCTTTTCCTTAAGCAGGATCATGAATGGAGACAAGCTATAACTGCTGCTGGATCTGGATGTATTGCTGCCCTATCTGTGGAAAGATATCTTACAAGCAAAAATCTCGTGGTGGAATTTCACCAGGTATGGATTAGTGGCAGAGTTGAAATTCATTCTTAATGTGGGTGATGATAACTCTTATTTGCTTGATTGTCTTAAGCATTTTCTAAAGAGCTAAATAAAGGATAATCTACTGAACTGAAAAATATCGGAAAGCTAATATTGAAATAAAAAGCTTCAAGTAGTTCTTTCATTATTTCAAACAATCATGAACATAATAAATCTAGAGATTAAGATTTGGCTTTGTCTCCAAAACGTGAAGGTCAAGTGGTCAACCTTACAGCCAGTTTTGCTTAGGGATTGAATAAAAATCCATTGATCAAACTGTGAGTTTTGCTTTTTCCCTAAAAAGAAGAGAAATTACCTGTGTGTCTTTTAAGGAAAAGTATATTTTATTTGGCTTAGAGACTTGAAATTATCTGAACGCGAGGCCCACTTTTTCTGTTGACCTTAATATAGATACTCACATTTGTCCATGATTTTCTCGTCCTTTTTTGCTAATAGCCGCATTTGATTTGCTTGTACTTAACATCATATGTGTAATTCCTTGTTTTGATGTGTTCCTGCTAATTTCTTGTACACTAATTCATTTCAATGCATCGTCAACTTTTACAAGTTCACTTTGGCTTTTCATCGCAAGTAATTACTGTGGTAAATATTACACGAGAAACAACCTGGAAAAGAAAAGAAATGGAAAAAAGAGAAACAAACCCCACAGGGAGATATCTAATATGGACTCATTGTAGTTTAGTTGATTGTATTCTCTTTTTCGCAGCCTAAGACTGAAGAGGCTAAAAAGGAGCCTACCGATAGAGATATAGATGAAGGTTTTGATATCACTCATACGAAGCACAAGGGTCAGGTATGCTGCTCTGCAGTTCATGATCATGATCTGTGAAATTGCTATCCTTTTCTTCTCTTCTTTTGCTCGGAGACACATTTTCTGACCATGATATACTTTTACTGATTGATCTACTTATTTGCCGATTCTTATTTGCAGTATGCTCTAAGGAAATTGTATCATGAGAGCCCAAGAATCGTATGTGTTCTTTACACTGCACCAACATGCGGTCCGTGCCGAACTTTGAAACCAATGCTTAACAAGGTAAAACTCTTTCTTGTAGAGTATAAGTTTATTCCTGGTTCTAATGTCCAGTTTGAACGAACATTTGCATGTAAACTTTGCACAAGTCCTGACTAAACTTAGGAAAAGTCCAGACCAAAAAGCTTAACCTTTGCATCTTGTCATACACCTTAGAGAGTTTGATTTATTGATAGTAAGCCTCCGAACCAAAACTGCTAGTTTCAAAAATAAAACTCTGATGTCCAAACTATGATTGATTTCTCAAGAAGTTTTGATTTCTGTTAGCCATATGCTAATGGTAATGGTTGTACGATAAAGAAGTTTTCCATTTGTTATCCAAAAAAAAAAAAAAAGAAGTTTTCCATTTGCTTTTTTGCACATGCTAATGATGTGTGAATATTCTGTGATTCAACTAAAGAAGCATTTTCCTAAACGGATGTCCTGTAAAGAAGTTTTCCATTTGCCTTTTATCCATTCAATAATCTTCCTTATCTAATAACATAATTTGTTCCGCTGATGATTTATATAATTTGACTATTTTCCGTTATGTTTTTTCTTGGCGAGGGAGTAATTTACATCCTAAGTTTATATCATAATAAATAATTCATGCGCTCGCGCTTCCTGACGATGGCAGGTGATTGATGAATTTAACGAGGATGTCCACTTTGTCGAAATTGACATTGAGGAAGACCAAGAGATAGCTGAGGCAGCTGGGATCATGGGCACACCATGCGTTCAGTTTTTTAAGAACAAGAACTTACTAAAGTACGTTGCCATTGTCTTAAGTATGCCTTTCAATAGAGTAGGATGCAACATATCATACATAATATTTACCCCCAAATAGCGAGGCAAAGACTTTAGTTATTGATGTTATCATTGTTGAATTATAACTAATTTCTTACTATTATCGACAATGTTAGGGTCTGAACTCACAATTTGTATCTCAATCTTGCAGAAACATACCAGGTGTCAAAATGAAGAAAGAGTACCGAGAAATCATTGAAGCAAACAAATGAGCCCCCTCGCTCGCCTTCGGATTCCTCTTTAGTCCCAGAATTCTCCCACACTGTAGCATTCTTGATGTAATTAAACTAGCTGTGACCAATTCAATTTTGACATTGAAAAATCAAAGCATTCAAAGTGTTTGGAAATGGGGGAAGAAGAGGGGGACAGATGTAGATACTTTGTAAACATGTATACTACTTTCTTGTAATTCTTCATACATCAGAAATCTGATGCCATATCTGAAAGAGAGCTTCTTTAGCGAGTTTCATACTTGTTTTTTAAGGAAAATTCAGCAACTAGAAATTAATGGGCAAAAGAACCATAACAAGTTTGCTTAAATTTAACTAGAAAGAAATCAATTTACAATTTATTATAATAAACTAAATAGATTAGACGCGTGAAGCCGCTTTCATCTACCTTTCCTAGGCTTTTCTGAAGAAAATTCGGCTCTTTTTTATCCCCAAGTCACTTTTCTCCGTGTTGAAGCCTATACCTATTATAGGGCTGTGCAAGGTCCGGGTGATCCGGTTTTTAGCCAAAACCGCAAATCAAACCGTTAGAATGGTTTGAAAAATTTTGAATCTGAAACCAAACCATTAGGCAGTTAAAAACCGGACCACACTAATCTGTTATCAACGGTCCGATTTCTACGGTTTTATGATTTTAGTTTCACTTTGGATTTTTTTTTTTTTTGCCAAAACTTGGACCTTTATTTTTTTCTTTTGGGCAAAAGTAGAGTTTTTTTAGTTGCAACCAAAAAAAAAAAAACTTTATACTACTATAATTATAATTTAACATCACAGAAATCTCTAATTAAAATTAAATAACATCCAAAATGTTAACCAAAAAGAAGAAAATAAAAAATGAAACTTCAAATTCAATACAAAAAAAATCCGTAAAATAAAACAAAACAAAAAAGAAAACAAGGGGCAGCGAGATTCGGACCTATGACTAGAACTAGACATGAAGAAATGGCCACTGAGTTAACCAATTCATCCACATTAAACATTTGATTATTTATTCAAATTTTAAAATATATAATAATTAGTATATATAATAATATAAACGGTCCAGTTTGGTTTGAATGACGGTTTTAGCATACCGAACCATAAACCGAACCGTTCTTTTTGGTTTTCAAAATTTGAATCCACCAGTTTCAAAATAAAACTATAAAACTGAACCAAAAGCTAAACTGCGGTTTGAATTGACCGGTTTGATCCAATTCATGCACATCCCTACCTATAATGTTATGACAATGATGTAATATATATTATAAAAAAGGAAAAAAATAAATTTTTAATAATAAAAATGGTAAATACACTATCTACAAAGCATGCATGATAATAAATTTATCAGTAGCAAATAATACATACTCTTACATTATAAGAATAAAATGATATCACTTCCAATTTCAACACAGTGACACATAGTATTCTAATTGTGAAAAAAGGACATGCAAAGTAAGAAATAAAATAAAATCAAGAATAACTACAAAAGGAAAAAAAAAAACTAAATTCGAGAAGAAATAGTTAGAGATGAACAATGAAAGATGATTATGTCCAGTAGACTTGAGATTGAGAGGTACAAATAAAGACTTGAAAGAAAGAGGAAAAATTTGACAAAATCTTACACCCTTTAGAATTATATATAGATAAAATTAGGCTTCATGACCGTTCGTATTTTTTTGAGTTGTGGAACAATCTAAACTGTCTTAAGGAACCTATTAAATTCAAAGAAGAGAAGAGAAGAAGAATGGACATTGAGAATTAAGAGAAGTCAGAATCACTTAAACCGTTTTACATTGATTAAATTCACCAAATAATATGAAATGATTTTTTTTTTGTAATCTTAAGAATAAAATTAATGATAGAATCACTGAAACCGTTTTTAGACTCATCAAATTTACTTAATAATGAGAAATAATTTTTTTAATCTTACAAATAAAACTTAATGGAAGGGAGACCAGAGAAAGATTTATTATATTGTTTGATGATAAAAGAAAATTTATTATCACAAAAGGGGACTTAAGGGAGACAACTTATTATCATAAAAGTAAAAATAATGGACAATAAGTGACATAATGATAAAATAAGTTGGAGAAAATGTTTACCAAAAAATACTTTTGACCAAATTAAATAAGGTACAACAAGATTGATAAATTGCATGAAAAACAATTAAGCAAACAAACAAGTGTGAAAGACTACCAAATTTCCAAAATTATTTTGCAGTTATAATATAGTACGATGAGTATGAAAAGAGGAAGGCCAATCAATCCAGTCCTTCGTTTTCCTCAAAAGCTGGCCGCTATTCTCTGGAGGTGCTCCCGTGATTCAGAGAGACGGACCTAAACTGGTCGGAAAATTTTCCGGCAAATTGGAGGTGTTTAGACATAGCCAAGTCTCTATGCAGGCCTGTCCCTGATTTCCAGAATGGTATGAGGATGTATAGGATTGGAGCACAAAGTTTATGCGCACACACACACACACACACACACACACACACACACACATATATATAATTTAACTAGGGCGGTACCTGGTGGGCATTCCCCCATTTTATTGATATAAAAAGAAAATCATATAGGCAGTGCATATGACTTACCCAATAGGAAAGAGTGTCTTACAAAGATTTTCTAAAATCTCATGACAATTCTTTTTTAAAACCTAAGATACTGTCTGCAAAGATTATACTAAAATCTCATGGCAGTTCTTTTAAAAATAACTTTAAGAATAAAAACTAAGAACTATCTTACAAAGATTTTTCTATTAAAAAACCTCTGACAGTTCTTTTAACTGTTCTATTTTATCTTGATCTAACATTCTAATATACCAATATTGAAAAAAGAAGACTCCATTATTTTATTCTCAAGTATGGATAAGATCTCTGGTCAAGAATGAATAATCCTCGAACCTTGGGGGGAAGGTCCAGATATGAGTAGAAGTCCATAGTCGAACCACTTGAACTCATTTTTGCTAAAGTATCCGCCACCATATTGATCTCTCGATATACATATATAGCTTGGTACTTCCTTCTTTTGATGATAATGACAACTTCTGTTAAAGTATCATGATACTTCCAAGGAAAATTATTTCCTTTATAAATGAGATCGATTGTTAACTTGCTATCCGATTGAATTTGAACATTTTGTAGTTCAATGACTTCGCAGTATTTTAGTCCCTCTAGTATTCCAAGAATTTCAGCTTTGAGACTAAAGCCTTGTGCAAAGTGTCCACATGCAGTATAAATCATCTCTCCATACGCTCCTCGTACCATATAATTTTATCCCGCTTCTCCGGGGCTGCCTTTTGCTAAGCCATCCGTGTTGATGATATAACTTCCGGGATCAGAGGGCCTCCACAAAACCATTGCAATTTTCTTCTTTTTTGGAGGAGAAACTCTGACTTGGAATATCTCTTCAAGCATTTTTCTCTCATCGTTTGAGGCCACTTTTAAATGAAAGCTGCATGAAGAGAAAAATGCGAAAAATGCTTTCATTTATATTTAAATGAAAGCATTTTTCGCATTTTTCTCTTCATGCATACACATATATATATATATATATATATATATATATGGTTAACAAACATACAAGTATGAACCTCTTTATTGTTATACTTTGATTCTACTATTAATTTTTCTTTTTAGTATATACATTCTCTCTACATTCCATTAATAAATGGATGAATTTTTTGCTATCCTGGTATTCTGAGAGGCAAATCATAAAATGAAGTTTGCAGAAATTATGAAGATATATGATATCTATCTTTCAGTTTTACTGCACGAGCTTGTTGATTATATCGATAGGCATGATTCACAGACCTCCAATTTTTGTGAACACACATAATATATGCACACTTGTATACCATTAATATATATACATCCAAGATACAACAAGGATGAAAAAATCGATCACATTCTTTAAATAGTAATGCCACCGTTTGAAATGCATTTCTTCTTTGTAGCCCTCACAATAGAACTCATCAGGACCATCACTAAAAGGAGGAAAGCTTTGAAAAAAGTGGAGGTTTATCCCACCTATGTATGCTTGACGTTCTCTTCGGCTAATAGAGTTTACATACTCCTTGCCGCCTCATTGGACCATTTCGAATTTTTTTTTCGGCACTATTGCAGTGAACTACACTTTTCAGGTTTGAGGAATTAGTTTATTGATGGTCAATTGGCCATCAGAAGAACTTTGTAGGTTTATGAGCCTCTCAAGTTATGGCTCAAGATTAAGATATGCTAGAAATTAACAGAGGAAAAAGGTAAGATGGGTTGGAAAGTATGGTGAAGAGTCCAAAATTAAATCTAGTCCTAATAGGGTTGGACCGAGTTACTTGGAAGTTAACGTACCTCCTTACTATAAATTACCTATTATTAGTAAACCTACTCCAACTATGAACTGCCTAAATTTTGTAGTACACCCCTATATAAAGGGGTGGTGTTGGAATTCCATATCACCAGCCGCCCAGAAACTAGGATTCACATCTAGCGCCACCCAGAAATCCAGAAACCAATACCTAACATTGGCTGGTCACAACAAACACGATCAAAGGCTGACAATTGCTCGCCCTCGCCTGACCCTGTCAGATCCACCTGCTTGGCATTCTGACCACTCTCACCCGGCACCTCCACGGTCGAGAGAATGTTAGTGGCTGGTTATTATTCCGGCCGGTCAGCTTGGTGGGCCAAGAGTAACATGGGAGATGCCTCTGGATCCGGATGTGATCCTCAATGCTAAGCACAAATTTCATTCTCTTGCAAGCCAGATAAAAAAGATGGCCCTTGGGGCCATCATTTCTGCTTGTGTTGGTGATGGAATTGTCAGAGTGTCAAGAATCCGCCAGCAAATCGCTGTACTCAATGCTTCTCATTGTATCGTTAAAGCTCAGGAATTTCTTAGGGTTCAAACTCTTGCGGAAGCCGAGGATCTTCGTCTTATGGTTTAGAATTCTAATGGTCATTTTAGCCATGGAGTTGTGCTACTTCCAATCAATCAAGCTATTCGAATGGAGATTGAGAATCTTCTCGACCCTCTGAGGTTAGATATCCAGCTTGCGGGTGGTGATGGTGGTGTGGTGTGACTTGGTGGAAAGGAGGAGTGGTTAAGAACCTTTGAAGTTGAATCGTTGCTCTTGGCACTACTTTTTTTTTAAAAAAACAGTATGGTACTTAGTTTAAGTCTTAAAGAATTCTATATCTATGGGATGTACATAGTTAAAGTCTTAAAGACAGTATTTTGGATGATTCTATTGCATTCTTA